ATTCGTAATGAATTATTTCCTATTCTGGTTGACAATACGATCGGCACGGAATAATTAGGATCTTCGTGGGGGATCGCTAAAGTGTTTATGGTAAGATTTTCATGTAGAAATTAGTTGAGCATTATTGCGGAATTAAGGGATTTATTGTTACTACCGCTACGGTAACACTACTACTACGACTACGATTTAGGTGGATTTGAATGATTTGAATTATTAGTGGGATTTATAGTAGATTTCGTAGATGATGCAGATGATGGTGATAATGATGCCAAGGGTGATGGGGATGACGAAGTGGGTGGCGAAGAAGTTTTTAATATCCGAATTAAACGAAGAATTAGATTTATTAATTTTATAACATGTGAAACTGCTTCATCCATTCAGGAACGGCTCCAGAATTGGTTGAATAATACTGTGTATGCAGCACATACTTAGCACTTTTTCAAAACTTTAATTTTCTTGAAAGCATTCCGATGCTTCAAAAATTCCGTATGTTTTACAAACAATTTCTATATTACATGTAGTTGGTAATTTTAAGATCCTCATATAACTGCCAAAAATTCTGAGCAGTTCCCATCTAATTCTTGCAGCAGTTTCAAGAAATTCTCAGCACCTATTTTCATATAGCTGTTGTTTCAGCACTATACGAATTTTAAAAAATCCCAATTTTTTTCGAAAGCCTTCTGATGTTTCGAAAATTTCATAAGTTTTTGGAAGATTACGGCTTATATCGATTTGCAATTTTAAAGTTTTGGATCAATTCCTTATAAGCTGTAGAATTCCCAAATAATTCCTGATCACTCGTAGGAATTTCTAAGAAACACCCGTCACTTTTCTCATAAAGCTGTTTTTATAAAAATATGTTAATAAGCTACTCAAATACAACTAGAAGGTTTACAATGAAAAGAAATTTAAATTACACGAATTTCACTCTATACTAAAATATACATTTTCTTCATCAATCAATTTCTTTTTAACTTTTTCTAAAGAACACGTATTTATAATGTAATCTGAAATCAATCCTTCCAAATACATTAGACGTCTTTCGTGATTTTTAACTTGCTTATCGTTATACTCACTTAGCAAAGACGAAGTAAGTTTATCGTCAGTGGATTTCTCTAGTTGTGAGCTGAATATTCGATGTACAAAGCCCCAAGGCTTGATTTTCTTATCTCCAAAGAGAAAGCAATAAAATGCTGCGAAAAAGCCTATTTTTTTTCGGTAAAAAAGTGGTTATTAAAAATCAAATCAATAATAAAACTCGAATATTAAGAATTACTTACCGATAATACCTCCAGCCACACCCAAAGAGTTTAGTACTGTACGTAGTCTAAAAAACAGATATTCATTAACTTTATGAATTACTTAAATAATTAGGAGCAAATATACATACCGTCTTTCAGTATAGACTTCGTGAATATAAGATTCAACATTCATAGAAATAAAGCCGGAAAATTTTTTTCCCACAAATTCAGCATTTTCTTTAAGTGGATAGTATGTCACAGTAGAAGGCAGTATTATTGTTTCTTCATATGTTGCTGACAAGCCAAAGTAACTCTTAATGTCACGTTGAGAAATTGATCGATATGTATTTTGTTTGAATTTTACAATGGTCGAATAGTTTTTAAGTCCAGCAAAGTTACTACCTTGCAGTTTCGTATCTTTGTAAACTGCTTCTTCCTATATTGGGTTATTTTTTAAATATCAAAGTTATATTTCTTCAAAAATATAACATAAATTGATGTGACTTACAAGTTTATTGCGCATTTTAATATTATGCTTCCAAGTATTGCTATTTGGATCATATAATTGTGCAACTATAAATAAAGAAAAATATTAATTATAGTAAAAAACAATTTAAATAGCGATAACAGAAAAGAATTTACCAATATTTGCGACTTCATTTATAGTACTGTTTGACAAACCAGCGTCGATCATTGTGTAAAATATTCCGATTTTCCAAATACCGCCTGTTGTATTTCCATAAAATAGAGTACCGTTCCCAGAAAAAAGATAACAGTATATAGTTTTTGGTTCTTCTCCTCCCCCCGAAATAATGTATAAAGCTCCATCTTCTCTACCGCAATCGGTATACGTGTCAACACTGTAGTCAGAATATTCAAATATACAATGGTGAAATTCTAACTTAACGCCTTCTGAGCAAATTTCCATATCTAAATTTAAATTTACAATAAAACTCAAGTTAAATAAAAGAAGTGAGAATTATAATAATAATATATAATAGATAATATGCCTGGTGCTTCCATTAGGTCTTCGAATTTATAAGCTAACTCAATCACCGGACGATCGGTTATAATTTGCACCAACAAGAAACAGGCATAAATAATCCATAAAGAAATGATCGAAAAAGCTACAGTCACCCTTAAACGAAGGAAAATGCTAGGTTCTTGAGTCTACGAATATTCAAATTAATTTTATTTAATTCATGCTTTCTTTGATTTATGTTTGTAACTAAAAGCGAAATAAATTTCATGACATTACCAAAGTACGTTGCGGTTGAAATTTATTAAGACCAAACATTTTTGTAATTAAAGAAAATCTTTAGTGACTACGTACTTGGATTATATACACGTAACAATGTATGTCCATGTATATGTTAGACTGTATACGTATACGCAGTGTTGTACATTTTGAATGTCCAAGGTCTTTTTGAGACTGGTTGGGCGCCTAAACCGATGGTGCTTAATTCTCATTGGTTTCGGCTATATAGGTACATGTATAATTCAAAACTATAACCTAAATAGTATCACATAGTTTTGGCACCCGTCTTTACCAAAGATGTCCCAACTCCTATCTAACTTAAAAACTTCTATTGAAAATATACGTGTACAACACTGCGTATACGTATCGGTGTTCATTTTCGTGTGTATAACGATAATACATGTACATGTACAAACAAAAAAATGACGATAAATTTGGTAAAGATTTCTGAATATGGAAAAATCATAAAGATAATTATTAACGTTAAATGGAATGATTAGGTGATTTGTTTCTGAATTGGGACAATCATAAATACTGTATTTATATCATTAAATGGAATGCTGTACTTTTTTTTTTAACGAAAACTTTAACGTTAACTTTAAAGGAACTTTGTAACAGTGAATCTAACTTATTGCACCGACTACATCAGTATTGTTATTTCTCGTTATCATGTACAGTACCCCAAAAAGTAACGCCCGATGTAAAATTAAACAAAAAATTTTCACATTTTTCGATTTATACACAAAATAAAAAATTATATTTTATTTGCCCTCCATTTGAATTTAATACGGCTTCAATTCTTTTTGGCATCGAGGAAATAACCTCTTCAAAATAGAGGCGTCAAGTTTTTCCCACTCCTTTAACGCGATTTAAGTTCGTCCTCGGACCTCGGAAAGACTTCATACTTTTGAACATTATCCTTCAACACCTTCCAAATATTCTCAATTGGGTTTAGGTCTGGTGAATTCGCTGGCCAATTGATACTCATGATTTTATTTTCCGCGAATAATTTTTTGATTTGTCCCGCTTTATGGATCGGCGCGTTATCTTGCCGAAAACTTACACGGTTCCCAGCTAATACCGTAATTGCTTTATGAAAAGGTAACAAATTAGCTTTTAAGATTCTAAGATAAACAGTCGAATTTATTTTCCCCCGTCATTTTTGTATTCATCACAAAATACCAGTGGTCTTTTGTGTCTTCCCGCAAAACACCCCCAAGCCATTACAGATTTTCGTCCGCTTAATAAATAAGCACCAAGCAATTAGCATTAAATCTTTCCCAGTGTGTCGCCAAACTCTTGATTATAGTGATAGCTTCCCAATTTCCACACTCGTCTCATCAGAGAAGATTATATTTGCCCAATCATAAGCTATTTTATTTTACCTAAAACGAATATAAGCATGTGTATCCGAAATGTAGGGTTTCTTTGCTGCGACACGAGAATAAAGTCCAGCATCATGTAATACATCTGCGGCCGCTAACAGATTACAGTTAAGACCTAAATTGTTGACAATTTTGCGGAGTGGTATATGTCGTTTTTCATTAACTTTACGTACGAGTAAATTTTTTTCGTGGTTATTAAGGACTGATGGTCTTCCAGAACGAGGTAAATTTTTTACTTTTCCCGTCCTTTTGTACTTAGCAATAAAGTGCTGTATTGTTGTGGGATCACGTCCAAGAATTTTGCGATTTGGGTGGCATTTTCGGTTTCCATGTATGTCAGAATCTTACCTTTTTCAATTTCGTTTAACAATATTATAATATTGACGAGTTGTGAAAGTGAACAAATGTCAAACTGGGGGATATATTGATTTTTTAAAATTGGGCACACATAAAGATGGCGCAGCAAACTGTTGCAACATGGTGACAAATAAAGCATCAGTTATGACACCAGCATTTTGTATTTGGTCCTTTCCAGTCAAAAGGTCATTGACTATTCCATCTATATTTTTGTTGAAATTTTTTATCAAGTCGTTGGGTATCATTCCAGATAAACTTTTTCTATTGAACTTTAATTCCTTCTTCATATGCTTGTACATCGTTGATTATTTTTGCACTTCTAATAATTCTAGTTGGCATGTCTCCACTACTAACATAACTAATATCTCTTTTGTGAGTGTTGATTCGTGTTCATGTTTTTTCAGGTTTTGGTTCTATGCTTTCAAATTGAACTCATTATTAGTGTGGTTGTATTGTTATCCAGTCATCTTTATGGTTAAACATTAGAAAGTTATGACTCTTCAAGTTTTGTTCTTCAAATTCATCTTTATTGGAACTTGATTCATTATCAGAGTCTTTAGAAGATTCATCAGAACTATCATAATCTTGTTCATAGATAAATTTGATTTTGATAGTTCCTTTTTAGTTGTTCCAATTGAATATTATAGTTCCATTATGTAGATTGAGTTTGACTTTGATCTTGTTTAGCCAGTCCATTCCAACTACTATACTATAAGTACAAGCTTTGGTAATATTAACATTAGTAGAAATTATAATTTTAGCAATTGTGATTGGGAAGTTGTTGATTACTTCAAGAGGTTGCTTAAATTTACTATTAATGTCAAACATTATAATATTAAATTTGCATTAAATTTTGATTTTATGTTTCTTAAAAAAATTATAATTAGTAACACAGCTAGATACTTCAGTATCAATAATAAGATTAATAGAAATAGTTCTGACTTTTGTTTCATACCAGACTGAAGTGATTTTGACTTTTTGTTCAATTATTCCAGTAGCTTTTCTGATAATCTTTCTTTTGAATTGGGTAGGTCTCATAGTGTTCTCATTAATTCAAAAATTGTTAAAATTAATGAATTAACAAAGTAACATAACAGTGAAAGAACAAAGACT